GATCTATGTGTGTGTGTTTGTGTGTATGTGTGCATGTGTATATATTTAAAAGGCCTTTATAATTTCTATAATTTTATGCTTAATTGGCAATTCAATCAATTTTAATTTCCCTCTAGTACACCAGATTTTTCTCTCTGTACCTTATGATGTAAATTTTGCTATTTTATTTTCACCTGAGTTGTTTTTAATATGTAAATTTAAGGCTACTTAGCTGATAATTGCCTAGGGTTATCAATAATTGATAGAGGTTACCTATTGAAATAGTTTTTCAAGAATTTTAAAGTCTAAGAGAGGAAAAAAGAAGTTTTTATGAATCTATAAGATATACTTCTACTGGCATACCTAATACATCTAGGTATTTATGTGTTGTGTACACAATGTTTCGCTACTGAAAATATATAAAAGAGCTCTAATTAACTGGCTTAAGAAAATAAAAGCTCTTGAATTAAATACTTTATCAGGAAAAAAGAAAAGAGTAGTCAAATTCTTTTTCAAATTTACATAACTTAAGTAAAATCTTTTTTTTTTTTTTTTGAGAAGGAGTCTCGTTCTATCACCAGGCTGGAGTGCAGTGGTATGATCTCAGCTCACTGCAACCTCTGCCTCCCTGGTTCAAGCAATTCTTCTGCCTCAGCCTCCCAAGTAATTGGGACCACAGGCACACACTATCATGCCCAGCTAACTTTCGTATTTTTAGTAGAGACGAGGTTTCATCATGTTGGCCAGGATGGTCTCAATCTCTTGACCTTGTGATCTGCCCACCTTGGCCTCCCAAAGTGTGGGATTACACCACACTGGCCAGTAAATATCTTTAATAAATAAGTTAGCTTTAAAATTATCGGTAAAGTATAATATTAGAAATGTCTTAAGAATTTCCAGGATGCATTTTTGTTTGTATTTATTAATCAAGAAATTTTATACATATCCCTGCCAAATACTATAAGGCATCAAAATTTAGAATAGGGGTTACTGCCTGCTGGTACTGATGACCAGCTGCAGCTCTGGCCACCACCTGATGTTTGCCGCAGGACCATAGAGCTGGTAGCCGCACTGGGATAATCCCTTCTAGTAGACTTCTCCAGAAGCGCTCATTTGCCCATCTTACCCTGGCACTTGGAGATAGTTTCTCAGATTTCCCTGCAGATCTAACTTGTCCACCTACCCAGTACTTTGGGATTAGCAGTGACGCTTCTTTGGTGGTTTCACTCTCTCTTTTAGACTTTTGCTTCCCTAGCTCTTCTTAAAATTATAGGAGGCCTATTTCCCATAATGAATCTCTTATTCTTTAATGCCATAATGTTTCTGCTTCTCTCACTGAACCCTGGCCAATACATGTAGTAGTCATGTATTGGACAACCAAGTTCTGTGGAGAACCAAGTGCTGCAACAGCCTCAACTAGTCTGAAGGTCAGAGAAGTTTCTCTAGGGAGATGACATTTTACCTGAAGTCTGCAGGGAGTGTTGGCTCACTCAACATTTATTCCAACCTCCTGGTATCTCTCCCTGAATTCCAGAGGCTAAAAGGCTAAACACTGCATTTCCTTTTCTCTCTTTTCCCTCCCTCTAAAAGATTTTACTTTTTAGAGCTGTGAGGTTCAAAGCAAAATTGAGCTGAAAGTACAAAGGCTTCCCATAAACCCCTTCAGCCCAAAATACATAACCTCTTGCATCATCAACATCCTGCCCCATTGCAGTACCTCTCAATGCCTTCCCTCTAAAGATCTACTCAACATGTGCCAGACTTTCCAATGTTCCAGTCCCTCAGTGGCAGGTGTTCCTCCTGGCTACATCTTGTCGGCCATCTTGCCTCCATCCTAGGCTCAGTCTTTGGAACACAATAAAAGTTCCTTTTTCTTCCTAGTTTGCTAGAGTTTTTAATCATGAATAAATGTTGGACTTTGTCAAATGCGTTTTTTATATCTATTGTTATAATTGTGTTGTTTTGCTTCTTTAGGCTGTTGTTGCAACAGGATACATTAATTGATTTTAAAATGTTGGATCAGCCTTGTATATGTGGACTAAACCCCACTTCGTTGTGGTGTGTAATTCTTTTTATGCATTATTGGATTCAGTGTCCTAATATTTTGTTGAGGATTTTTGCATTTATGTTTATAAGATGTGGTGTGTAATTTTCCTTTCTTATAATGTCTTTGTCTAGTTTTGGTGTTAGAATAATACTGGCCTCATAGAATGAGTTAGGGAGTATACCTTCTGCTTCTACCTTCTGAAGGAGATGATTTTTTCTTAAATGTTGGTGGAATGTTACCAGTGAAACCACCTGGGCCCAGGTTTCTATTTTAGAAAGTTATTATTGATTCAATTTATTTAATAGATGTTGGCCTATGCAAATGATCTATTTCTTCTTATGTGAGTTTTGGCTACCTGTGTCTTTCAAGGAATCAGTTCATTTCATCTAGGGTATCAAATTTCTGAGCATGAAGTTGTTTATAATGTTCCTTTTATTCCTTTAATGTCCATGTTATCAGTGGTGATGGCCCCTCATTCATTTATAATATTAGTTTTTTCTGTATTTTGTATTTTTTTTAGTTGCCTGGCTAGAGATTTATTAACTTTGTTGATCTTTTCAAAGAATCAGCTTTTGGTATCATTGCTTTTCTCTATTGATGTCCTATTTTCAATTTCATTGATTTCTACTCTAATTTTTATTTCTTTTTCTTCTACTTACTTTGAACTTAATTTGCTCGCTTGCTCTCTCTCTCTTTTTTTTTTTTTTTTTTTTTGGTTTGTTTCCTAAGGTAGATGCGTAGATTATTGGGTTTAGATCTTTTCTTTTTTTCCTAATGTATGTGTTTAATGCTATATTTTCCTTTAAACACTGTTTTCACTGCATCCCATAATTTTTTTTTTTTTTTGGTAGGGGGAGATGGGGCCTTGCTCTGTTACCCAGGCTGGAGTGTCATGGCATGATCTCAGTTCACTGCAACCTCTACCTCTCTGGTTCAAGTGATTCTCTTAGTCTCCCAAGTAGCTGGGACTACAGGCATGTGCACCACACCCAGCTAATTTTTGTATTTTTAGTGGAGCCGGGGCCTCACCATGTTGGTCAGGCTGGTCTTGAACTCTTGACCTCGGGTGATTCATCCACCTTGGCCTCCCAAAGTGCTGGGATTACAGGTGTGAACCACCGTGCCCAACTGCATCCCACATATTTTGATTGTTATGTTTTCATTTTCACTTAGTTTGAAATATTTTTAAATTTCTCCTGAGATTTCTCTTTTGACCCATGTGTTATTTAGAAGTATGTTGTTTAATCTCCAATTATTCTGAGATTTTCTAGCTATCTTATGTTATTGATTTCTCATTTAATTCCATTGTGGTCTAAAAGCATACACTGCATGATTTCTGTTCTTTTACACGTGTTAAGGTATGTTTTATGGCCCAGAATGTGGTCTATTTTGGTGAGTGTTCCACATGAGCTTGAGAAGAGCGTGTATTCTACTGTTGTTTGGGAGAAGTATTCTATAAATGTCATTTAGATCCAGTTGATAGATGGTGCTGTTCAGTTCAACTGTGTCCTTACTGACTTTCTGCCTGCTGGCTCTGTCTATAGTAGTGGCTTTGTCTATTTCTCCTGTAGTCCTCTCAGTTTTTGCCTCATGTATTTTGACATTCTGCTGTTAGGGGCACACACATTAACAACTGTTATGTCTTCTTGAAGAATCGACCCCTTCATCATTGTGGAAATGTCCCTCTTTATTCCTGATAATTTTCCTTACTCTGAAATCTGCTTTGTAGAAATTAGTGTAGCGACTCCAGCTTTCTTTTGATTAGTGTTAGCATGGTATATCTTTCTCCTTCCCTTTACTTTTAACCTATACATGTCTTTGTATTAAAGTGGACTTCTTGTAGACAACATGCCTGGTCTCTTTTGCAGCTAGGTTTCTGAATGAGATTCAGGATTCATAAATAAGATATAATCATATGAGCCCTCAATTCGGAACTGATTTAATGGCCAAGTGAGTCAAGGCTGGAGGAAGTTTTTGCCAGTACAGTGTGTAGGAGGGGTGTTAGAGTCTGGAGCTGCAGCTCCAGCAGCAGATTCTCGATTTAACAAGTTGGTTTCTGGATTGTGTCAGGGCCAACAGTTTCCTCTGCAGCCCACTCATGAAGTCGAAGATATTAGTAGCTAAGTGAGGAATATCTTTAGGGTACACAAAATTGGTTCAACTAAACTAAGCATTAAAGATGATCACGTGGGCCAGGTGCAATGGCTCATGCCTGTAATCCGAGGACTTTGGGAGGTCGAGGTGGGAGGATCATCTGAAGACACGAGTTCAAGAACAGCCTGGCCAACATGGTGAAACCCCATCTCTGCCCAAAATACAAAAATTAGCCAGGCATGGTGGTGTATGCCTGTAATCCCTGCTATTCAGGAGGCTGAGGTGAGAGAATCACCCAGACTGGGTGATAAAGCGAGACTCTATTTCAATTTAAAAAAAAAAAAAAAAGGTGATCACATGGTCAAGTGTGGTGGCTCATGCCTATAATCCCAGCATTTTGAGAAACCAAGACAGGAGGATTGCTTGAGCTCAGGAGTTCGAGACAAGCCTGGTCAACATAGCAAGACCTTGTCTCTACTAGAAAAATTAGCCGGATGTGATGGTGCATGCCTGTAGTGCCGGCTACATGGGAAGCTCAGGTGGGAGGGTAGCTTGAGCCCAGAAAGTCATGGCTGCAGTGAGCCCTGATTGCACCACCCTGATTGCATTGCTGCAGTGAGCCCTGATTGCCTCACTCCAGCTGGGTGACAGAGTGAGGCCCTGTCTAAACAAAAAGAGAGAGAAAGACCATATGGCCATATGGCCATTTTGGGGTCTTCATGCTACTGGACAAGAGGCTCAAAGGAGGACCACTTAGTTGGAATTGAAGTACAAATATGGGACGAGGGTCATGCATGTCAGTCAGATAAATGAAGGGATTACTAACAGTGGAGGTTATCTATGAACTGGTTTGCTCAACATCTATTTCATCTCCTTCTAGTGCACCTTTCTACTCTGCAGAGGCTGGAAAGCTGAAAACGAAGGCTAAGACTTCCTTGCAGGTAAGCTTTCATCCATTTTAAGATTCTGTCTATCAGATATATTTGCTTGGGAACTGAAATCAGAATTGAGTGAGTGGGAAAGAGGCAGGATGTAAAGCATCGATTTGCTGGTATAGGTTGTCATAATGTAGATGTGACTCTGGGGATGGTAGCAACAGCTGCATGATTTGATGAGCAGCTCCTTGTGCTCCTTCTTGTGGTAGAAGCAGCTGTTTCCTTGACAGATCAGTTCTGGGATGTGACCCTGGGAGTCTTAAGACATGCAGTCAGGCAGCTGGAAGGACAGATGCCTCATCTGACCACTCTTCTATGGACCCAGGGCAGGATAAGCATGGTGGGTGCAGAGGGTGCAGTTCAAAACGTGAAACCCTTACCTGGAAAATGAAGAGCCAGGCCCTGATTTGGAATGAATATTCTTAAAATGAAAATAATTATGCAGAGTTAGAGGAGCTTTTAACAAGGATGGAGCTCAGTCATCTCAATTTATTGATGGAGAAACAGGCTCAGTGAGTTCATGGCGGAAATGGAACTCCAATCCTCTGTGAGTCTTTGCCCGGTGCCATAGCTATCAGGGAACATGAAATCTGTCCAATGCCACCACCTTCTCTCCTCATGTTTGCCACCTGCTTAAGACTCTCCTTCAAGTAAGCAGCACGTCCTTACTGACCACAACGTAGCCATTGTCTGGGCAACTCTGGCAGTGACCTTGATAGCCTCTAGAATACGAAACATACTTGACTTGTGCAAATACAAACACTTGGTGGTTCTTTGGCTGCCGGGGAGCATTATGGCCCTTTCGTTGAGTTTCTCTGGGACATATGAACTTCTGATCTCAACTGGCTCAGTTAGTTGGAGCAGGGAACTCCAATGCCTTTGGAAATAGAAAATGGATATGACTCAGGGTGAAACATCAGTGGAAAGAGACATTTCAAGATCAATTAAAAAAATATATAACTATTGGTTAGCATAGTCATAAAATTAGATAGCTCTGCCTCCTTATTTAGAAATGGAATACAGGCCAGGCATGGTGGCTCATATCTGTAATCCCAGCACTTTGGGAGGCTGAGGTGGGCAGATCATTTGAGGTCAGGAGTTTGAGACTAGCCTGACCAACATGGTGAAACCCCATCTCTACTAGAAATACAAAAAATTGGCCAAGCGTGGTGGTGCATACCTGCAGTCCCAGCTACATGGGAAGCTGAGGTGGGAGGATCGCTTGAACCTGGAAGGTGTAGATTGTAGTGAGACTGTTTCAAAAAAAAAAAAAATAGAAAAACAGAGTACAAGTTCAGGCATGGTAACTCATACCTGCAATCCCAGCACTTTGGGAAGCCAAGGTGGGAGGACTGCTTGAGGCCAGAAGTTCGAGGCCAGCCTGGGCAACATAGTAAGACCCTGTCTTTACCATAAAAGAAAAAGAAAGAAAACGGGGTAGAAAGGGTAGCGTCTGGGTCTCCAGTCTTGTTTGTTTGTCTGTTTGCAGGTCCTGCTATTCCAAGCGTGGACCCTGTACCAGCCCCAGGGGAAGCACTAGGGAGTGTGTTAGAAATGTAAAAGTCTCAGGCTTTCCCCCAGGCCTACCTGGTAGATCACAATCTGTATCTTAGCAAGATTGCTCAGTTGACTTGTAGACACAGGAAAATGTGAGACATACTGCCGGAGAGCACCAAATCATGTCAAACACAACATAGACCTCAAACAAACGAAGAAAATGAAGTATTTGTCATGCTTGCATTGCAATGAGAATGCACACAATAACTTAAGGGCATTTACTGCAATAGGAATTTTTTTTTTTTTTTGAGACAGAGTCTTGCTCTGTCGCCCAGGCTGGAGTGCAGTGGCACAATCTCGGCTCACTGCAACCTCTGCCTCCCAGGTTCAAGCAATTCTCCTGCCTCAGCCTCCCAAATAGTGGGGATTACAGGCCCGTGCCAGCACACCTGGCTAATTATTTGTATTTTTAGTAGTCATGGGGTTTCACTATGTTGGCCAGGCTGGTCTTGAACTCCTGACCTCAGGTGATCCACCTGCCTCAGCCTCCTAAAGTGCTGGGATTACAGGTGTGAGCCACCACACCCAGTCAGGAATTCTTTTTAAATTAATAGATTCTTCTTTTTCGAAGAGCTTTAGATTTACAGAAGAATTGTATAGCGTTCCCATATACCGCCCCCTTATCCCAACACGTGCATAGATAGTCCTCTCATTAACATCACAAATTAGTGTGCCACACTTGTGACAATTAATGACTCAATATTAATATATTATTATTAAAGCCCATAGTATACATTCAGGTTCACCCCTTGTGATGTACAGTTCTATGGGTTTTGACAAATGCATAATGTCACGTATCCATATCCCACAGAACAGTTTCACTGCCCTGAAAATCCTCTGTGCTCTGCCTCTTCACCTCTGTCCTCCCAAACCCCTGGCAACTCCTGATCTTTCTACTGTCATCATAGTTTTGCTTATTCTAGAATGTCATATAGCTGGAATTATAGAGTACATAGCCTTTTCAGATTGGCTTCATTTATGCCTTTCTGTTCTTCTGTGTCTTTTTGTGATTTGATAGCTTATTTCTTATACTATTGCTGAACAGTACGCCATCGTATGTCTGTATCACGGTTCGTTTATACTTTCACCTACTGAGGAACCTTTTGGTTGCTTCCAGTTTGGGGCAATGATGAATAAGGCTGCTATAAACATTTGTTTGCAGGTTTTTGAGTGAACATAAGTTTTCAGCTCTATTGGGTAAATACTGAGGAGTACAATTGCTGGATGGAATGGTAACACTATATTTAGTTTTGTAAGAAACTGTCAAATGGGAGCAGGGTGTGGTGGCAAGCACCTGTAGTCCCAGCTATTCAGGAGGCTGAGGCAGGAGGGATTTCTTGAGCCTAGGAGTTCAAGACTAGAGTATGCTATGATGACACTTGTGAATAGCCACTGCACACACCCACAAAAGAAACTGTCAAACTGTCTTCCAAAGTGGCCATACCATTTTGAATTTCCACTGGCTTTGAAGGAGTCCCTGTTGCATGTCCTTGGCAGCATTTGTGGTGTTAACGTTTTGGATTTTAGCCATCTGTAATAGGTCTGTAATGGTTATTTTGATTTGTAATTTCTTTTTTTTTTTCTGAGACGGAGTTTCGCTGTCGTTACCCAGGCTGGAGTGCAATGGTGCGATCTCGGCTCACCGCAGCCTCCGCCTCCTGGGTTCAGGCAATTCTCCTGCCTCAGCCTCCTGAGTAGCTGGGATTACAGGCATGCGCCACCATGCCCAGCTAATTTTTGTATTTTTAGTAGAGACGGGGGTTTCACCATGTTGACCAGGATGGTCTCGATCTCTTGACCTCGTGATCCACCCGCCTCGGCCTCCCAAAGTGCTGGGATTACAGGCGTGAGCCACCGCGCCCGGCCCTGATTTATAATTTCTAATGACACATGGTGTTGAGTGTGTTTTCATATGCATATCTGTCATCTGTATGTCACCCTTGGCGAAGTGTCTGTTCAGATCTTTTGCTTATTTTTTAATTGAGTTACTTGTTTTCTTATTTTTGAGTTTTAGGAGTTCACTGTATATTTTGGACACAAGTCCTTTATCAGATATGTGTTTTGGAAACATTTCTCTTAGTCTGTGGCTTTTGTATTCTTCACAGCAGAAGTTTCTTTCTTTTTTTTTTTTTTTTTGAGACAAAGTCTTGCTCTGTTGCCAGGCTGGAGTGCAGTGGCCCAATCTCGGCTCACTGCAACCTCTGCCTCCTAGGTTCAAGCAATTCTCCTGCCTCAGCCTCCTTGGCAGAGCAGCTGGGACTACAGGCACGCACCACCATGCCCAGCTAATTTTTGTATTTTTAGTAGAGATGGGGTTTCACCATGTTGACCAGGATAGTCTTGATCTCCTGACCTTGCGATCTGCCCACTTTGGCCTGCCAAAGTGCTGGGATTACAGGCATGAGCCACTGGATCTGGCCTAAAATTTTATATTTTAATAAAGTCCAACTTAACATTTCTTTTCCCAACTCCATATTCAGTGTTATCATGTTGGTAGCTTGGAATCAGCCATATTGCGGGTATTTATGCTAAAGAAATTGGCAGACTCTACAAATCAGGGATTTCCTCCTTCCTTACAAGAGTTGGTTGCTAAATCACTTTATAGCACATGACTGCCTCCTACTTTCTACTGAATTGTTCCAATTGGTCTATTACTTTAGTCATAACTTTTTTTATGTACCAGAGGTTTTTTTGTTTTGTGTACATGTGTAAGATATTGGTATTTTATTTTTCTTGATTTAATTGCTCTTGGAAAGGCATGGTAGCTCATGCCTATAATTCCAGCACTTTGGGAGACAGACGCAGGAGGACTGCTTGAGGCCAGGAGTTCCAGAGCAGCTGGAGCAACATAGCGAGACCTAATCTCTACAAAAAAAAAAAAAAAAAGTAGTCAGCTGTGATGGCATGTGCCTGTAGTCCCAGCTACTTGGGAGGCTTGGGTGGGAGGATCTCCTGAGCCCAGTAGTTCGAGACTGCAGTGAGCCATTATCACACCACTGCATTCCAGCCTGAGTGACAGAGTGACACCTTGTCTTTTTTTTTTTCTGCAACAAGGTCACACTCCGTCACCCAGGCTGGAGTGCAGTAGCATGATCATAGCTCATTGCAGCCTCTACCTGTGAGGCTCAAGTGATCCTCCTGCCTTAGCCTCCTGAGGAGCTGGGACTACAGGTACATGCCAACATGCCCAGCTAATTTTTGAATTTTTGGTAGGATGGAGTCTCCCTATGTTGCCCAGGCTAGTCTCGAAATCCTGGGTTCAAGTGATCCCACCTCAGCCTCCCAAAGTGCTGGGATTACAGGTGTGAGCCACCACATCCAGCAAGACCCTATCTCTTTGCAAAAAAGAATAACCAAAACATGTCTAAAGAAGAGAGAAGAGGGATTTTCCTTAGTATATATGAAGACTTAAAAAAATTATAGTAATTAGGCCAGGTGCGGTGGCTCACGCCTATAATCCTAGCACTTTGGGAGGCTGCGGCAGGTGGATTGCCTGAGCTCAGGAGTTCAAGACCAGCCTGGGCAACACTGCGAAACACTATCTCTACAAATATACAAAAGAGTAGCCAGGCATGGTGGTGTGTGCCTGTAGTCCCAGATACACAGGAGGCTGAGTCAGGAGAATTGCTTGAACATGGGAGGTAGAGGTTGCAATGGGCCAACATCACACCATTGCACTCCAGTCTGCGTGACAGAGTGAGACTCTGTCTCAAAAAGAAAAAAAAAATACATATATATATATATATATATATGGTAATTAAGCAGAGTGATAGATGGTAGGGCAAATTTAGAAAAATAGATCACCTGGATAACTTTTTTGTGTTTTGTAGTAGAGATGGGGTTTCTCCATGTTGGTCAGACTGGTCTCAACATAAAGGAAGCCCAGAAATAGATCTAAGCATAAGTAGAAACTTATGTGTTCAAGAAAACATTAAAATCAGAGGAGAAATATTGTTCTGTTCAACAAACGGTGTTGGAATCATTGACTTTCCTTATAGGGAAATAAAACTAAATTTAAGCTTCATACTACACACACAAATAAACTCCAAATGGAGTAAAAGATTAAAGCCCCAAGTGTCAAACCCCCAAATTTAGAACCAATGGAAGAAAGATATTCAGAAGAATATTGTTAAACTCATGATCAAAGAGTTATGTAGGACTTTGCAAACAAAGTACTAAACATTACAGATAGATAACTCATATAGCATAAAAGGTAAAAGTTTTTATATTATAAAAATGCTGGCTGGGTGCAGTGGCTCATGCCTGTAATCCACACTCTGGGAGGCTGAGGTGGGCAGATCACAAGGTCAAGAGATTGAAACCATCCTGGCCAACATGGTGAAACCCCGTCTCTACTAAAAATACAAAAACAAATTAGCCTCCCAGCTACTCGGGAGGCTGAGGCAGGAGAATCACTTGAACCTGGGAGGTGGAGGTTGCAGTGAGCTGAGATCTCTCCACTGCACTCCAGCCTGGTGACAGAGCAAGACTCCATCTCAAAAAAAAAAAAAAAAAAAAAAAAAGCCATAAATGAAAGACAACTGGCATGATTACAGAATATATTTGCAACATATATAGCAAACACTTATTGTCTTGACTTCCAATTTCCTGCCCTCTGGAAGCCACTGATACAGAAGCCTGAGGGAACACGCTCCCTGACCTCCTCCTCCAACAGAGCAGAGCCAGGAAGGACTTGGATGGAAATTAGGACGAAGAGGTCCAGAATTCGCACAGCTACCAACAGACCATTCGTTGAAGAGGAAATCCAAATGGCCATGAAGCATATGCGAAAATGCTCAGTTGCACTAGCAGCCAGGGGAAGCAAGTTAAAACTGGTACACAATTTTATACTCATCGGATTGGGAAGAAATGACAAATGTGATATTATCAAGTGCTAGCTATGGTGCTGCTAGGAGTGTAACTGATACATCCACCAAAGAGAGTATTTTGGGAATGGTGATAAAGTTGAAAATGTGCATGTCCCTCATCTGACCAGTGTAGTGTTTTTTTTTTCTTTTGAGACAGAGTTTCGCTCTTGTTGCCCAGGCTGGAGGGCAATGGTGTGATATTGGCACTCCGCAACCTCCACCTCTTGGGTTCAAGTGATTCTCCTGTCTCAGCCTCTTGAGTAGCTGGGATTACAGGCATGGGTCACCACACCTGGATAACTTTTTTGTGTTTTTAGTAGAGACGGGGTTTCTCCATGTTGGTCAGACTGGTCTCAAACTCCTGACCTCAGCTGATCTGACCACCTCGGCCTCCCAAAGTGCTGGGAGTACAGGTGTGAGCCACTGCGCCTGGCCCTATGCAGTATTCTTACAAAAAATGGGTAACCTGATAATCATAAGGAAGCAATAGGCAAATTCAGATTGGTGGGTACTCTGCAAGACAGCTGGTCTGTAATCAAGAATATCAATGTCATTTTAAAATAGAAACCAGATTAAATCTGGGCATGGTGGCTCACACCTGTAATCCTAGCACTTTGGAAGACATTTGAACTCAGGAGTTTGAGACCAGACTGGGCAACATGGTGAAACCCCATTTCTACAAAAAATACAAAAAATTATCCAGGTGTGGTGGCATGTGCCTGTGATCTCAGCAACTCAGGAGGCTGAGGTGGGAGGATCGCTCAAGCCTAGGAAGTCAAGGCTGCAGTGAGCTGAGACTGCACCACTGCACTCCAGCCTGGGTGGCAGAGTGAGACCTCATCTCAAAAATTAAATAGAAAAAAAAAATAAAAAATAGTTTTTTTTTAGGTATGATCTTCTGGTAACCTCCATCTTCCCTTGAGGTATGGCCTGCCTCCTTAACAGCCAGCTCTCCAGGCCTGACAATGACAGATGAAGGACCCCAGCAGCCCTAGAGAGACTCCGTCAACAGAGGAGTGTGCCTGCTCCCCTCCCCCTGGGCTTTCCCTTGGGCTTCTTTTTTTTTTTTTTAAAAAAAAAAAAAAAAAAAAAAAAAGGAAAGAAAAGAAAGAAACCAGATGAAAGAACTTTCTAGATTAAAGGGCACCAAAGAGCCACAACAGCTAAACACAAAGCCTGATGCTTGTTTGGATTCTGGATTGGAAACAGCCAATGAATTGGATATAAAAACCATTATTGGGGCAACAGGGGAAATGTCTACATTAAATAGTTTTACTGTATGCAAGATACAATATTGTGTTCTTGTTCTTGTCCCAGCCAAGGCTGACAAGCCCCCAGGGGCTCAGATAGTTAAGATATTTAGCAGGCTGTCAGAGCCTTAAGAAAGTTCTCAGCCCAGGACTGAGGTAGGGGTTACTTGGGGCTGAGGGGATTAGCAAACGCTTGTGAAGTGGCTAAAGCCGTGACCTGGATAATTCAGGACTCAAATCCACCCGTATTGGAATTCTCTGGGTGACTGCCCAGTCCCTTGGCAGGCCAGCCAGCCACAGGGCCCGACTGTGCAGGACTTCCTGCCTCTGCAAAGGCAGTCAGGGGCTGAGCAGGGTTCCACCCGGCTGGCTCCAGGCAGAAGTTTTCCCTCCCCACCTCCAGGATTGTCCTCATCATTGCTCACCCCTATTCTCAGCTTAAGATTCTGGAGGCCAAGAATTGACTCCCCTGGATCCATGGTCTGTGGACCCCCATGTTCTGACTGGAGATGGGGAGCCAGTGAGACCTGGGACTTCGGGGTCCGCCCAAGGAGGTTGCTCATGGCGGCAGACCTCTGGAGCAGGATTTGAGGCCAAGCCAAAGAGGTTAGTTACTAATGGGGGCTGCACAAATTGGGGGTTGTGGAGGGAGGCCAGCTGGGAGGGAGAGACTGGAGAATGGTGGGTGTGGAGAGTCCAAGAGGGAGGTGAGCAGGCACAGCTCTCTAGGGCTGCTGGGGTCCTCCACCTGTCATTGTCAGGCCTGGAAAGCTGGCTGTTAAGGAGGCCAGGCCACACCTCAAGGGAGGTTACTGGAAGATCATACCTAAAATTACGAGCAAAGCTAGGAAGAGTTATGAGAAGGCGGAATTAGGACTTGTGTTTACGTTAATCTGAGGATTTTTTGGTTTGGATTTCTTTTTAACCTAAACCACAGGCAAATATTCCCCTTTAGGGAAAGAGATCACCAACATCGTTTTAACATCCCTTAACTGTTGAGAGCGTCCACTGCGTGCCAGACACTTCAGTACACACAGAAAGAGACCCAGAGATGAGTAAGTTGCCCTTAAAGGGAGATCTTCCTCCTGCCTTCCTCCGTCTCTCTCTCTCTTTCTAGCTCCCCTCTCTGGAAGGCAGTTTAGCTTTGGGCTAAGTATCTTTGGACTTGGGAGTCAAACGGATCAGGACAACTCCGAGCTTTGACCGGCTCGACCGCGCGTATGAGCCATTTCTTTTTCTTCAAGCCTCAGTGTCCCAATCTGCAAAGTGCATATGATAGTAGTATCCGCCTCATAGGATCACCTTAGGGATAAAATGAGAGAAGCCCCATAAAGAACTTAGCATGGTATCTGTGCTCAAGAAGGCATCAGCTATTTCTGTTAATCATGCAGTAAACATTTTTTCCTAGGACCCAATCTGTGCCATGCAGAGTGCTAGGTGCTGCCAGAGAGGTAAATGAGACACCATCAAGGATTCACAGTCTAGCTTGTTCATTCGTTAATTGATTTCATCAATGAATATGTATCATGCCTTATGCCGAGCACTGGAGATGTCAAAGTATTAATAAAAGACACTGTCCCTGTCCGCAGGTTGCTCACAGCCTGGTGGGAGAGACATGGCAACACAATATGATTGTTGCTGTGAAGAGAGGAGGCTCAGGGTGCTGGGAGAGCTCAGGGCAGTGGATTGATCCAGTTCGGGGTAGGGCGACGGATTCACAAGACGTTTTGGCAAAGGCAGACCCAGCTTCCCTATTTCCCAGCTCCCAGCTGCACTCCTACCCTGGGGCCTTTGTGCTTGCTCTTCCCTCTCCCTGGAGCTTTCCTCCTCTAGGATGTCCCCGTAGCTTGCTCCTTCACCACCTTCATGGCTTTACTCAAGTGTCACCTCCCCAGCAAGACCTTTCTCAGCCACCCTGTTAAAAGTGGCCACTCCAGCCCGGCGCGGTGGCTCACGCCTGTAATCTCAGCACTTTGGGAGGCCAAGGCGAGCGGACCACTTGAGGCCAGGAGTTCGAGACTAGCCTGGTCAACATGATGAAACCCCGTCTCTACTAAAAATACAAAAATTAGCTGGGTATGATGGTGCACGGCTGTGGTCCCACCTACTCAGGAGGCTGAGGTAGGAGAATCTCTTGAATCTGGGAGGTAGAGGTTGCAGTGAGCTGAGATTGCGCCACTGTACTCCAGCCTGGACAACAGAGCACAGCTCTATCTCAATAAACAAACAAACAAATAAATAAATAAATAAAGCGGCCACTCCCACCATCAACAGTCCCTGTTCCCACCCCCAGACGCACACACCCAGCACTCCCACCCTGCTCCCTGCTTTGTTTCTCTCCATTGCATCCATCACCACTTGACAAACTATAATTTTACTTATTTGCTTGTCTGTTTCATCTTTTCCCTCCAGAACGCAAGCTCTGCCATGAGGGCAAGGTTCTCAGCTGTTTTGCTCTTTGCTGTATCCTCAGTATTTAGAGCAGCACCTGTCACATAGTAGGTGCTCGCTAAATAAGTACATTAAGTTTACAAAGATGAGTAGGTGTTGAGTAAGAGAAGGAAGGGAGGAAATAACAGATGAAAAGGGAAGAGTGGGAGGGAGAGAAAGAGAGAGAGAGAGAGAGAGAGAGAGAGATTGAAATTAGTAGGTTTAAGGAACTAACAGCCTTCACATCTGGCTTCTTCCCAGGAATGCTTTGGGGTGATATAAGGCAAGACTGGAGTAGGTCTGGGGCCAGTCATGCAGGGCCATGTCCTGTGAGGGGAGACAGGTGCCTCTGACTTGGGTGGATGTGTTCTGTGCTGTTACAGAGGTTAGAAAGATTGACCCAGGAAAAATGGAGGAAGCCATGAACTCTTCTGGGGAGGTATCAGGGAAGGTGTCTCAAAAGAGGGGCACCTTCTCTTAGGCCCAGGGAAAGAGTTCCAATGTTATTCTAGGTGTGATGAGCCTACAGAAACACCTCTGCCTATAGAATTGCTCAAGAAACATTTGCTTGGTTGGATTGGGATTGAGACAAGTGGAGTGGCCTTGAATTGTAGGTGTTTCAGGCTCATGGGCCTAGAACCTGGGGTGCCATCTGTGATCTTGCCAGGCAGAGGGACAGCCTTTCCTCAGGTTTCTCTCTCCTCCAAAAAAGAAGGGACATTACCATGTAGGAAAACAGTCAGAAAATGTCGGAAACAGATGCTCGGTGCCACAGAGAAAAATCAGCACTGAGACAAAGAATCTCTCAGCAAGACAATTTTACTTTCTGCAGAAAGGATGCTCCTGTTAGCTATCTTGCCACCAGAGTACAACGAACAAGGAAAAAGTAGGCATGTTTATCATTTACGCATTTGGGGTCGTCTTCACTGCTGTGACTGATCTCCATTGGTTGGAGCTAGACTGCACAATCTAAAACTGAACCTGATTGGCTAATAGCTTAAAACTTCCTTGACTAGGTAAAGTCAATGGAGAACAAAAGGAAAAGAGGAAGTCCAAATCAGGAGGGGACAGAAAGTTGCTTGTGAAAGGACTTAGAAAAGCAATGGCATAAATATCTTGGTGAAAGTACAAGGATATAGACTCTCCTTTGTGCCTGTGAGCGTGTCTAACAGCTACATAGGATAGGGCTTAACAAAGCATTATTAGCAAAAAGCGAGAAGGCTTTGAAGAAAGTGTTTAAAACAAACTAGGCTGGGCACGGTGGCTCATGCCTATAATCCCAGCACTTTGGGAGGCGGAGGCAGGTGGATCATGAGGTCAAGAGATCGAGACCATCCTGGTCAACGTGGTGAAACCCCGTCTCTACTAAACATACAAAAATTAGCTGGGCATGGTGGCATGCACCTGTAGTCACAGCTACTGGGGAGGCTGAGGCAGGAGAATTGCTTGAACCCAGGAGGAGGAGGCTGCAGTGAGCCAAGATCGCACCATTGCACTCCAGCCTGGGTAACAAGAGCGAAACTCCGTCTCAAAAAAAAAAAAAAAAACCAAACTACTATTTCTAACACTTATGATTTATTCTTTAACAAGAAAGAAAACTTTGAAGAGGAACTTTCCTACTTTCTACAGAAAAGGAGAGGGGAGAGCATGTTAGGTGGAGGAAAAACAACAGAAACAAAGGCAGAAAAGGAGGTTAGTTCATGGTAGATTTCCTAAGGGTGAACAGTTGAATGGATTACGTTTTTCAAAGATAAAACATGTATTTGCTATGGAGTTGGTGTGCCGATTGCCTCCTTAGCCAAGGTTATGGTGAAGGTTGAACTCGAGCCTGTTATTAACCAATAGCTGTAACATGTACAAACTACATGTGCATTCTGGGCTGACACCAAGACAGAACTAACTGTGTGTATCTTTAAGGGAAGCTGCTAATTTACAGCCTGGCTGACACCCACAGGGGGCTGCTTTTATGTCCAGATTTAATTGTTTCATCCATCCCATCATTCTTTTATTCCACAGATAATTATCGGCCACCAGATATGCATTAGGGCCTGGGTGCAGTGGCTCACACCCGTAATCCCAGCATTTTGGGAGGACGAGGTGGGCGGATCACCTGAGGTCAGGAGTTTGAGACCAGCTTGGCCAACATGGTGAAACCTTGACTCTATCAAAAATACAAAAATTAGTCCAGCATGGTGGCCCACATCTGTAATCTCAGCTACTGACAAGGCTGAGGCAGGAGAATCATTTGAACCCAGGAGGCGGAGGTTTCAGTGAGCCGAGATCGCACCATGGCATGCCAGCTTGGGTGACAGAGGGAGACTCCATCTCAAAAAAAAACAAACGAAAAAGATATATATTAGGTTCTCTACTACCTGCTGATAGGTTGATAATATAACAAAGAACAAGATGAAGACAAACATGTTTTCTGCCCTCAGATGCTTATATTCTGGGGGAAGGCATGAGGCACATGAGCCATAAACAAGTACGTTAAAGAGAGTTAAAGATGATGGTTGGTGCTATGAAGGGATAAAACAGGGTGACCTTGGGTAAGTGGTCAGGGAAGGCCTTCTGGAGAAGGTGGCGTTTAAGGTGAGACTTGGAGGATAAAAAAGCAAGGACTAAGTATTCTAGGTAGGGAGTGCGGGAAGTGCAAAAGCTGCGTTGGAAAAGCTCAGAGGATTCATGAGCAAGTCGATTCGAGAGCACGGAATGTCAGACCCTGAGGGCATCCTGGAGCTCATCCACTTATCTCATGCTAGTCATTGCTCTTGCAACATATCTGAACATGCCTCTGGCTGCATAAAATGTTGTGGGGAGGTGGCCCTCCTGGGCAGGGAGCACAAAACATTTGACAGCCCTCTCCATGTTATGGAGCAGCTGAATGACTCATGAGTTTGCCCTGTTTTTGAACCTTGGCAAAATGTAATTAAAAAAATTTTTTTTTACAGGATAGAACCTAGGCTTCATAACTGACGAAGCTGATTTCATGAGCTTTGACAGATCTCATCTGCATTTTAAGTGTTTCCAACACTTAAAGATTAAGTTCCTTTTCCTGAGAAGTCAGGCGGGGGCATATCCCACCCACTCAGTGCCCACCTCCCATGCAACATTTCCTTTCCTAAGAAGTGGCAAATAAAAAGTGCCTTCCGGGGAGAGGAAACTCACCACTCCCAAGA